AGTAAAATACCTCTGCCTCCCTGCATCTTTTTCAGAGCTGGAAATAAAAGAAACACTGTTCTGAGGCTACAAAGCAGATGGATTAGTTAAGGATAAGAAAAATATTCTTCTTTCTTACATCCAAAAATACATCCAAGTAAACTCAGAATTTGATGACAGCATTTACTTATTCAATACTTTTAGCAGCAGCTTTCAGAAACCAAAAGGTAAATTGTTGCAAATTGTATTTTATAATGATGTTCAATTCCAGATCCAACTCTAAAAGAATGAAAGCCTGATGAAAAAACTGGACGATTTAAAAAATCCCTTCATTTTTATAAAATGTATATTAAATAAGACTGAGGATTTAAAATATCAATATCCTGAAAAGTTTAACTCAAAGCGTCAGAGATCAATTTTAACCTTTAAAGTCAGACTTTATCTTCATATTCAAATAAACTATCTATCCTTTTTCTTAATTAATCTTTCTACTCACCCATCCTTTTGCTATTCATTTTTTAATCCATGGATTTAATTTTAAGTTCATTGTACTAATTCAAAAAGGCTTTTTTTTCATTTTTGTAGACTAAGAATATAAATAAATGCTTCCTAATCGCACACCATTTCTAATTATGCCTATCTTAGTCAAAGCATTTGAATGTTTCGCATGCCTGTAACCAAATCAATAACCAAATAATCTCAAAATAATCTGATACAGGCCCAGCTTTGTTGACACACTTTACAGACAGATGCAAATACTGTCAGATAAAACCGCCACTAATCAGAAAGAAAGTGAACATAAGAAGCTCTGTGGCTGTTATCATTAAACTGTTCCACTTTAATTCAAATAACGGGAGTTTAAAAATAATACATTTTGAGTTTCAGTCTTTATGTCTTTTTCTCTATCTAAATGACTTTTTTAAACACAAAAGCATAATACACGCCTCATTTCTCCCGCTCAGGCTTAATTTTTTTATTTCTATTAGAATTAGGTGTGCTACAAAATGAGCCACAAACAAACAAGTTGGTATAAATTAAGGTGTGAGCGCAAGTTGGGGAATCAGACAGCAGCAAACTGGCCATCAAACACTTTGTGTGTGTCCAAACATGTAATGCTTTCATAAATCAACAGGGTTGTACAGAAGCACAGAGATGGAGAGCTAGGAGACCCTTGGGAGCGAGGGTGCCTTACAAAGCAGGCTATGTGACACAGGAAGAAGCAGAGGGGCAGGGGGCCTGATGGAGGGTGGAGTGAAGGAATGGCTGAACACAAAGAAAACAGAACAGAATGGACACAGCAAGACACAGCTGAGGGACCGAGTCCTGAAACGTGACTGTAGTAAAGAGGATTTAGTCTGGGAGAGAGAGACAAAGCAACTGGGCAGTGATGCAATCACTGAACTTATAGCAAGAACTGGATTGATTACCATGATTATTGCCCAATAAAAAAGGCTGATTCACACTTTTTTAAAATATGAAAGTAATACTTTTATAAATTAAACTGCTTAATTAAAAATCTTTTGACTCGTCATTTTGAGGAAATGTGCATTTAAATCCTTACTGTAAGTCAGGAAAACTTATTGTTATCTGACAAGTGAACTCCTAATTAGTGGAATTTGAAAGGTTCAATGACTTATGAAGTCAAAGGCTTACATTTCTGACCGATGAGGTAGAGATTTTGGATTTTAGATGCAGGATGTTTTCTGTTTGGCTGTTTTCCCAGCTGTTGTCGGTCATCTTCTCCAGCAGAAATGCACAAAAAAGGACATGCTTGGGTTGCAGGGGAGGACTGGGCAGGATATTTGGTTTCCCAGCAGAGTATTCACATTCAGTGCGACTGAGTCAGTGGCCGTCAGAGTCGACCTCACCCAGCAGACAGAGGCCTGTAAAAATGCCTCTCAGCTTGAGTCACGATGCTGAACAGAAGCTGTAGCCTCTTGGCTCGTCTTCCTACAGCAGTCTGCCGGCCGGCTATGACGTCGGCCAGACAGGGGAAGCTGTGGTGAGTCTTCAAGGAAACACAGTTCATATGACTCCGTAACTGAGCCATCCAAAGGAATTTCCTCAGGCTTTCACATCCTTTATATGAAGCAGCTCAAGTGTAATTATGTCTATAATCTCTTCACTCCAATGAGAGGCATGCTTTGTCCAAATCCATCTATGCAGAAATCAACTCAGCAAACCCTTCTGTCATCCTCCTTTTTCTTCCTATTTTTATTCTTAGCTACAAGCAAACCTTTTAATACTTTTTTATTTGTTAAAATTGCAAGTCTTCCTTGTGCTCTTTCAAAGTAGTTATCAGTAGCTTTTAGGGTTTGCAGGATTTCATAATAGGGTATTAGGCCAAATTTAGCCAAAGAAAGTTGGCAGATAGCCTGCATGTGTATCTATGCCACGAAGTACAGTAAGCAGAGCAACAAACTGTGTTCTGCTGAATCAATAAAAGAATCTTTAATTCAAACATCCAAGCTCAGCTTATCTCTAACATTATCATATTCACTGAGTAATCCTTCCTGGTTTGTTAACATCAGTCACCTGCAATGTCTTCACTACCAAAACTCAGTTAAAAGAAAAAGCTGCTGTGACATTCCATAAATAAATACGAGAAGTTACTGCTTCAGCCGCCCAATTTTAGCGCATGAAGGTTTCTATGACATAAAGACACTGGAAAAAAATTCTAATTTAAATCAAAAGAGCTGACAAAAAAAATTATCCTTTTTTTTTATTTGGTGGAAAACTCAACCAAGTTCAACCCACTCAAGATTGTGTTGTTATCAGCCAATAAACATGTCAGAATTCCAAGGCTTCAAACTGACAAAATGATCCATCATATCGTTCCTACGGCTCATTTAAAGTGGATACAAAAAAGTTGTGTAAGGTCTGTCTCATGAGTCAGTACACAGTTAACAAAAACAATTAAAAAAAGTTGCTGCTCATTGCTATTCAGCTGGCTGAAAAAAGCTTTAAATTAGGGCATTTGCAGAAACTCCTGGTGAGGAACAACATGGGCACACATTGAGTGTATAATAAAGCAGGTTATCCATCACTTATTGAGGTAATGCGGTTTTAAACTTGCAGTTGGCAAGCTGCAAGCGACATGTGTGTTAATGAGCTGGAGACTCAAGCAGATTAATGAACCTGCTAGTACCAGCCAATGGGACTCACTCCATGTGTTACTCTTTAGTCAGCAAAGGGTACCATGTGTTGTTTGACATATGCTTGAAATCTACAGCTAAATTTAGCAGGTATGGCCTCTACATGTTGCATTAGTTTACAGCTAAGAATTTTAATATGATAATTTATTTATGGCATTATTATAAATCAAAAGATATGTTAGTAAAATGCTGTTAAAATAAGAAGGCTATTAACAATATTAAGGCTATATTAACCCCATGCATGTGAAGACATTTCAGAGATAGAGAGGTCATTTAGCGACAAACTATTGCACATCCGCAGATCCTTCCTTCCATTTGATGTCGTGTTTACAAACATGCTGCTGGTTGCACAGCTTCTTGATTGGATCAAGAATTAATCAATCAAATCACTAAACAATTTCTGACCCCCTAATAAATGTTCTCAGGTGTTAAAAAATACAAATGTTAATGACAACAGAAGTTAAGAGAATATCAGCAGAGTTTCTTACCTGCTCTGTAAAGGTTTATTTCTACTATCTTTTTGTCATCTTGCAGTTTTTTTTATTTCCCTTTTCTTCTTTTTAACCTAAAGGTTTCTAGTTTATTAGATAAATATGTATTTATTCATAACTGCACAGCATTTTTTTTCCTTACTAAGAGGTATTTTCTTTCTCTTCTGCTTTACAGCTGATCTTTTAAAGTGTTGTTCTTCACATAATTTTCTGTTGTGACGTGTCTGATGTTTACTTTTTTGTAAACTGGGCTAAACTTTCCCACTGTGGGACAATAAAGGTATTTTTCATCTCATCCTAATTTTCTTTTACCCACCCAAATCATCCTGGGCTCAATATGTAAAATCAAAACAGAATTTGCATCAATTAGTCTTATGAAAAATCGCCTATTGGTGCCAAAACAGTTTATCTGTCTTTCATACTCTGAAATCTTTTATTATTATTTTGTTTACAGATTGAACTAATGCAAAAAGAAAAAAACTGTGTCTTTGTGACAGGCTGCTGGTATGTTGTAGAATCAATTTAATTTTCACAGTCTTCCTTTATAAACACAGGGTCATGCAACTTTTTTCTGCAGAACTAGTAGCTTAAAGACAAATTGATTTAACAAACAACAAATATCCTGCGGGAAATGTTCACGAACTAGGATGAGATAACTTAAGAGTTCCTAAAAAAGAAACAGGATCATCTGAGGAAAATCACTAAAAGACTTTTGATGTAAGACTTTCAGAATGCATAATGTAATTCTGTTCTAGTACCTTTTCAAGATAATGTGCTCAAAAATAACCTTACAGACAAAAGTGATACAAAGCAAATTGGAAAAACATTTTTAATATAATGATTTATTTATGTGTTTGAAGATTTGCTTTTTTGTATATATACACTTATTACCTAATAAACTCAAATAGGCCCTTTAGAAGCATCTTTATTAGCAATGTTAATATATTATTATTGTTCTTTTAGTAAGAAATGATAGTAAATACTTGAGATGTGAATGACTTAAACTTCAAATTAAAGGCAGGTGATTGACTTGTTTAGATGAACAGATTGACCATCTTGAACCAACCAGTGATCCTTTCTCAGCTTAGCTGAAAGTAGGTGTTGTGACTTCCAGATGGGATCAAAAGGTCAAAAAGCAGCCTGGCCTGACCCAGAGATGAAGCTGCTGCTGTAGCTATGGCTGAGTTCATTCAGGGACAAATGAGGATCATGAGAGGAGTTGCAGATGTGGGCCAGATGTGTTTTGGTCAGAGGGCTGCGAGCCTCATTCAAACAGGAACAATATATTAATTGTTATTATTAACCCCTGCAGTGAATAAACTATAAGTCTGCCTATTATACACATAAACATCAAGCGATGGATGACTTTACTCACTTTCTCTTATACTCGTCTCTCTCTCGCTTTACTTTGGCCAGCACGTTGTACAGAGCCCTCAGTTCAGGCGTGATGGTGTCGATCTGGACTCCGACTCCGTCCGGGTGCGTCCACGTCACTCCGGGCCCCTGCAGGGTCTCGAAGCGCTCCCCTTGCCTCCGGATGTGGGTGAAACTCCAGATGGTCCCCGGCAGCCTGGACTCGGGTCCGTCAGTCTGCACGGCGACCTCCCGGCCAAAGGGATGCCTGCAGAGCGGCCGCTGCAGGGCGCGCCGCAGCTGGCTCTCCAGCAGCTTGTTCCTGCGCTCCAACTCGTGGACTTTGGCGAGGAAGCAGCGGAAGCGCAGGTTGAGGGTTTTCAGCACATGGATGTTGGAGCCCAGGTCGTTCCGCAGGGCGCTGGTCACCGGACCGGGCGGAGGTTCGCAAAAAAACAGGGAGCTCATGATGAACAACAAAAATAAATTAAATAGCTTGTTATGGATTAACGGCGACAAAGTAACCTGTTGTTAGTTATGTTTGCATCTTCCTTCTAATCTCCGCTCCCACTGGACAATTTCTCCTCAGAATGCAGAAGATGGGGGGACCATCACTGACTCTAACATGGGCCCCTGCAGCAAATAACCCCAAAAAGTCCTTTAAGAGGCACTGATGGCTTCATCTCCTGACGGACCCGGAGGTTTGACGCAGACCGAAATAATAGGAAGCTTCAATCCCCGTCTGCCTCATCTTTCCTGCCTCCTTCTTTGTCCAGATCTGCTGATGCTGCTAGCAGACTGAGGAGGTTGGCTTTCTGTCTTTCTCATCCCCCGCTTCACCGCGGCTCTATCCAGTCACCATGCGGGGCGGTGGGGCAGGATGCAGCGCCGCAGAGCCCGGCCTCTCCGTGGATCATGTTGCAAAGTGCTAAACTCGGCACTATCACCTTATCGGCCCCTCCCACGTCCCTCCCCACGCCTCTCCCTCTGTATGGGGCGCCGTTTGCAAAGTTGCACCGTCAAAAATGGAAAGGAAAGCAACATTGGTGGTTATTTATTATCAGAAGTCAGAATTCTGAGATTAAAGTCAGAATCCTGAGAAAAAAAAGTCAGAAATCTGATTAAAGAAAAAGTCAGAATTCTGAGATTAAAGTCAGAAATCTGAGAAAAAAATTCAGAATTATGAGATTAAAGTTAGAATTCTGAGATTAATGTAGAAATTCTGACCTTTTCCGCTATATCAAACTGAAATAAAATTTAAAAATCAGTTAACTTTTCTTTTTTTTTCCACTGGCCCTAATCCTCTTCCATAAAAAGAGGTTAGTTTTGCAAAGTCAGATTTTCACTCATACATTTATAAATATCACGTTCCAAAATAAGTATTTAGATTGACAGCTAATATATTTTTAGCAAGCTAAATATTTATGTTTCCAAATTAAATATTTAGCTCGCTGAAAAAATATTTAGGGCCGCAGTTTATAGAAATGTCCTGGCCCCGGGGTCTTTCTGCATGGAGTTTGCATGCTCTCCCCATGCATGCGTGAGTTCTCTCCGGGTACTTCGGCTCTCTCCCACAATCCAAAAATATGCCTGTTAGGTTGATTGGCATCTCTACATTGTCCTTAGGTGTGAGTGTGTGCATGGCTGTATGTCTTTCTATGCCTCTATGTTGCCCTTCCACACCTGTCCAGGCAACCTGTCCAGGGTGTATCCCACCTTATGCCCATAGACTGCTGGAGACTGTACTGCAACCCTGATGGAATAAACTGGAGGTGATGGATGGATCAAAAGATATTTAGCAGGCAATCTGTATTTATTTTAGAACTTTCATATTTATACATATGAATGACATAATGGAAACTTGACTTGGAAAAACTAACCCCATTTATTTCTCTTACAACTCCCTAAATAACCAAAGATATTGCTCTTAATTTTGGACTGGTTATTGCACAGGGTGTTTACATGGGCATTTATATATATGGATATTTATATGTAAGTATATATATATATATATATATATATATATATATATATATATATATAATTATTACACTGGGTCAAATAGTAATTGCACATTATACATTATATATAGTGATTTTCCCCTGGGATTATTAAAGTATGTCTGATTCTGATTGCACAAGTTATTGCCGTTGTACTGTTGCATTGTAGAGTCTGGTTGCAGCAGGGATGAAGTATTTCACTAAAGGAGCTGCTCAGCTCCTCTACAGACTGGTGCAGAGGGTGGAAGGTGGTTTCCATGATGGATTAATGGTGTAACTTTACAAATGGCACTCCATACCTCTGACTCAGTGATGAGAGATTCAGCTCAGGCTGTATGATTGGACTTTATCAATGGCATTTTGGTCTGTTGAGATCCAAAGGGTATTTTTTAGGTTTGATTTCAAAGTAACAAACTTCTCAAATGTATATAAAAAATAGATTAAATAATTTTGCAATGCAAAAATGTCCTATTTAGTTATAGTTATGATATATTTATTAGTTTCTTGCAACATTTTACTCAGAACAATTGTTTTAACTGCATGAAAAACATGCAGAAGAGAATTTATAGCCACATACAGTAGCTACCTTAACTGCAATGACACACACAATATTTACCTTGTAAGTTGCAAGACTTTGCAAAACTTCGATTAATATGTATAAAGTACCAGAATATAAGCTTTTTCTAAGTTCTAAGTGTTTTTTTGCGATAGTAGGCTGACAGGAAAGGGGGTATGAGAGAGGGAGAGACATGAGGGAAAGGACCACAGGCAAGATTCAAACCCAGGTACCCTGTGTTGAGGAATAAGGCAATCACACCTGACTTTTGACTGTACTTTTAAACAAAATCCCAATAATAGCTTAAAACGTCATGTTAAAGTTTAGTTTAGACTTTATAGTGTGTGTGTTTTACTAAAATTAAAAGCTAATCCACAAAATCCCAGTATTCAGCTATTAATACTGCACTAATTTAGATCATATGTAGTGTAACACTATCACAAGCCATTTTTGTGCAAGCTTCTTACTCTCAAAGAGCGGATTTAAAGCGTTATTTAATTATTTTTTAAATTGTTTTTATTTTTTCTATACCTTGAATTACCTGCACTGAACCACTGCAACTTTGCACTGAACCACTGCAACTTGCACACTGTCTCTTATCCTCTGCACTGTTCACACTTTGACCACTGCTGCACTTTTTGTATTTTTCTATAACTTGTGCCATTTGAAATATCAATGCAACATTCATAAGCTGTATGTAACGCAATTTCGTTCTGTATGCACCCTGTGCATACAAAATGACAAATAAAGAAGTCTAAGTCTAAGTCTAAGTCTAAGTCTAAGCCTTAAGTATATGGACTTCTTATATTTAGTGTGATACATAGAAAACCTTATTGCCTTTTCCAATATTAATTATTGTGGGAATATCAAAACTGAGCAACACTATGGTCATTTCAAGTATTTATTTATTTTTTAATAAAATATTACTGACTTCTTAACCAAGCAGCTTTTTGTAAAATGTTTTTATAAATTAAGCTACCTTTTTGTATGTCTTGGATTCAAGTAATTAACCTAAGAATAAACTGTTTCACCATGTAATTGGATAAGATAAATAAGTCCTACACATCATTTTTTTTTTTTTTTTTTGCATGAGTTTGTCATTTTAGGAGATAAATTCCGCTTCTTGCAGGCAGGTGGCAGCAACTTTAATTGAGATCATGCGGTAAATATAAACTATTAAAATAACATGAAGAGAAACAACAAAAATGATTAATATACAGTTTAATTTTACGTAAAAATATATATAAATAAAACGCGGTTATTTTATTTTTATTTTATTTCATTTTTATATTTTTGATCAGGCGCCACATTGCCACCTTCGTCCGACAGAAACATTTGGGGTCCTTCTGCTTCACGTGTTCTGCTCTCCTGCCACCATGCCGAAGTCAAAAAGGGATAAGAAAAGTAAGTATTAATCATAAATAGCCTTCAACATCAGGCTTTAAGAATATGTACAGGCGCTTTTAGAACTTCTTCAACAGCAGCATTACAGGTTGAAATGGGAGAAATGCCACTTAAAATTAGAAGAGATCAATTATCTTTAAACTACTGGTCAAATTTACAGGGACAAAGGAAGGATCATCCAACATTAGAGGTGCTTAAACCTGGATGGGAAAAGGAAAAGAAACAATTAAAGAGCTTTGGATGGGTAATAAACACTAAAGTTAATGAAATTAATTTAAATCAGTTAGCTATATGTCAGACAGTTCCAATAACAGCAATTCCACCTTGGATACTTCCTGATGCTAAAGTTGATCTCTCATTATTAGAAAAGAAGGAAAAAGATAAATATCATATTATGAATAAATTTATAGTACAAGAACACTTAAATAACTATTATAATTATATACAAATATATACAGATGCATCAAAAAATACAGCTAATAGGGTAGGGATAGCATTCATTATACCACAGTTTCATATTAATGTTGGAAAAAGGATTAGTGATGGAGTTTCAGTATATACCGGTGAAATGCTAGCTTTGCTTTTAGCAGTTCAATGGGTGGAAGAGGTAAGACCATTAAAATCTATAATTTGCTCAGATTCCAGTTCGTCATTAATCAGTTTGCAAAATAATCAGTCAGTCAGTAGACCAGATATATTACTTGAAATACAACAAACACTTTACAGAATAAATATGATGGGGCTAGTGGTACATTTTGTGTGGGTTCCGGCACATAACGAGATAAAAGGAAATGAAAGGGCAGACAGGATGGCTAAGGAGAGTACCAATAAGTTAAGGGTAGACATTAATGTTAGTTTTTGGTATAACAGAAATAAAGGGTATAATTAAACAAAAAGCAAAAGAGAGGTGGCAAAAGTTATGGAATGAAGAAAAGAAAGGAAGGTGGCTTTATAAAATACAAAAGAGAATTGGACCAATGAGGACGATCAGAAAGGAACAGGAGAGAAGAGATTATTATTTCTCGACTTAGAATAGGACACACTGGATTGAACAGATCGTTATTTTTGATAGGGAAACATCAGACAGGGAAATGTGACTGTGGGGAAGATGAGACTGTGGAACATGTCATTTTAAATTGTAGTAAATATTCGATACAGAGAAACAGGTTAATAAGGAAACTTAGTGACATGAAAATGAAACTTGACATTGTAGATTTATTGCAGAAAGAAGAAGAAGTATTAATCATTTTATATGAAAGTGTTTTTCAACAAGTCAGGTCAGTTTTAGTTCTTATCAGATTATTGATATGTGAAATTAGTCCCTAATCAAATTAAGCCTCCTGAAGCAAGATAAGCTAGGTTCTTTTTGACTTCGCTCTTCTGCTCCTGCTTAATACGTGTTTTAAACTTACCTGTTTTCCTTATTTATCTCCAGTTTCTTTGACAAAAACTGCAAAGAAAGGCCTAGAATCCAAACAGAAGTTAATCGAGGAGGTGAGAATGTTTCATACCCCTAGAGGGTTTTTTGTAGGTATTAGCTTCTACTATGTGTTAAAAATATCTGTCTTTTTCTTTAGCTCCGGAAATGTGTGGACACCTATAGAAATCTGTTCATCTTCTCTGTAGAAAATATGAGAAACAACAAATTGAAAGATATCAGGACAGCATGGAAGCACAGCAGGTAATTACACGGGTTTATTCTGTCTTTCAGGGACGAGAAATATGCATATTATACTTTGTTTACCCTTTTGCTTAAAACCATTCACTGGAATATTTTGTTTTATATTTTTTAACACATAAGCACACTTTTTGTGGGAATTTTGGCCCCTTAGAATCTATAACATTGTTCAAAGATTTTAAAATACTAGATTTCCTTTAAATAAAATTTTTAAATTAGTAATTTGCTTAAAAGTGGGAAAGATAGAAATGAATACAATTCTAACAATCATTCAAAATATACCTATTATTATTATC